TAAGTCCTAAGATTGCTGAACTAACACAGAGTTTTTGGTTGTGTTGTTTATGTTCACTTACACAAGCATCAGAGAAGTAAGTTGTTTCCTAGAGCTGAAAGGTGTGTGTTCCTTGGCTATGCGGATCACCAGAAAGGATATCGGTGCTACAATCCACAAACCAAGCAAATGTTTACTACTATAGATGTAGTTTATCATGAAACCTTGATATATTTTTCCTCCGAGTCTGAAATTTAGGGGGAGAATTATGAAGTTCAGACTTTTGTTCCTTAAGAAATTGATATTGAAATCAGATTGGAGAAAGAAAGTTACAAAGTTGTATCAAGAGATGATGAAAGTATGTAACAATGTTATGATCAACAACCACATAATGAGGAAGATTTTGAGCATGTTGAGATCGAAAATTTGTCTGTTGATGCTAATGATATACCACACCAATCGTCCCCTCAAGAACCTAATACAGAAAAAAGAATTCTGCCAGATCGTGTCACTAGAGGTATCCCTAAGCTTACTTATGATCCTGACCTCACCAGTAAGACAAGATACCCTATGAGTAATTATGTTTGTAACCAGAATTTGTCTAACTCAAATATCGCATTTATAAGTCAATTATCTACTGTATCTATTCCTAACAGTGTGGAGGAAGCTTTAGCTGACTCCAGGTGGAAGGATGCTATGAATGAGGAGATGAGATCCTTGCAAAGAAATAAAACATGAGAATTAGTAGATTGTCCAGTTGGAAAGAAACCAGTAGGATGTCGATGGGTGTATACTGTGAAATTTAATGCAGATGGCACAATTGAGAGATTCAAAGTTAGATTAGTGGCAAAGGGGTACACACAAGCATATAGAATAGATTACACTGAAACGTTTGCTCCCGTAGCCAAAATTAGTATAGTTCAAGTATTGTTATCTCTAGTTGTAAACCTTGATTGGTCCTTACAACAATTTGACGTAAAAAATGCCTTCTTACATGGGGAATTGTGTGAAGAAGTTTATATGAAACTACTAGAAGGATGTGGGATCCCGAATACACATAGCAAGAAGGTATGCAAGTTGAAGAAGTCATTGTATGGACTAAAACAATCGCCACGAGTATGGTTTGGTAGATTCACCAAGTTAATGCTTGCTTTTGGATACCAACAGAGCAACCAAGATCATACCTTGTTTCTAAAGAAAAAGTAAGAAAAGATTACAATTCTTATTGTTTATGTTGATGACATGATAATTACGAAAAACAATCTAGAGGAACACAAGACATTGAAAGAGTACTTGGCAAAGGAATTCGAGATGAAAGACCTTGGTCCTTTGAAATATTTTCTTGGAATTGAGGTCTCAAGATCAAAGTCAGGTATTTTTCTCTAACAACGAAAGTATGCATTGGATTTACTAAAAGAAACTGGAATGACACCATGCAAACCAGCAAATTCTCCAATTGAAGAGGAATTGAAGTTGTGCATTGAAGAAGATCAAACTCCAAATAACAAGAGAAGATATCAAAAACTTGTAGGGAGATTGATGTATTTCTCACACACTAGGCCAGATTTAGTTTATGCTCTTAGTGTGGTTAGTCAGTTCATGCACAATCCAGGTGAAAAACACATAGATGTTATACGGATTTTAAGGTATATAAAAGTTGCTCCTGGAAAAGGAGTTATGTTCAAGAAGAACTCCAACTACAAGGATGTGATGGTTTATACTAATGCAGATTGGGCAGGTGCTCTTGATGATAGAAGATCAACCTCTGGATACTTTACATTTGTAGGAGGTAATCTTGTCACATGGAAAAGCAAGAAGTAGAAAGTTGTAGCTAGATCCAGTGCAGAAGCTGAACTTAGAGGAATGGTTCTTGGACTTTGTGAAGGTTTGTGGCTCAGACTACTTCTCCAGGATTTAGGGTATGCACATACACGTTTCATTCAGTTGTATTGTGATAATAAAGCTGCGCGTGACATTGCTCACAACCCTGTCCAACATGATCGGATGAAGCATGTGGAGGTTAATAGATTTTTCATCAAGGAAAAGCTTGATAAAAATATTTTGGAATTGCCAAATATTCGATCTGAAGATCAGTTGGCAGACATTCTTACCAAAGCTGTGACAAGTCAGATTTTTAGGAGATTATTGGACAAGGTGAGAATGTATGACATCCATTTACCAACTTGAGGGGAGTGTTGGGATAAAGGTATTTGATTAGCTAAATTATAGGTTTGTATAGCGGTACAAAATATTGTATAATCAGAACTTCCTATATTTAGTCCTGATTTGTTAAAGTAAAATACTATAAGATCATAGTATATATGTACAAAAATAATATGAATAAAAATTATAGAATGATTTCTATGTTTTTCAATTGGTGGATCCTTCATTTTACCAATATCTTATGATAACTTTGGGGATCTCAATATTAATAGGTTCTTTCGTGAGAACTACTAAAGAGCATTTTTTTATTTTGGAAGATTGAATATATTTTGTTGATATTAGGTCTCTTGATAAAGATGAGTTTGGAAATAAATGTAAGAGTAGATATTTGAACGAATTAAGAAAAAATTGTGTGTTTTTAAGATTTGGTCATCCTCAGGCACATAAAAATATTCTAGGATATTTTTGTTTTAGACAACAAGTGGTTTTGAAAAACAAGTTAGACTCTGAGTAATACATGTTTGTAGTAATTATGAATTGAAGAACAAATGGCTTAATATTAGGAATATTAAGATAAAAGGTAATGATCCACGGTTCATAACATAAATATAAAATGAAACAACTCTTTCTTTAATTTAATATGATTTTTATTAAGATTTTATTCCGTTGTCAATTTCTAATTGGGTGTGTCCAACACATCACATTTATGTTAATATCCATCCAAGTCTTTCTTTTGAAGAAAAGTGAGATAATTATAAGAGAAAAGAGTGGAAAGCATTTCAAACTTTTATATATAAAATTTTAAATTTTATAATTTTATCTAATCAAATTATTTTTATAAATTATAAAAAAATTATTTCTTTTAAAATTTTCCATCATATTCAAATTATTTATAAAAATAAATTATTCCTCAATATTTCCTTCTTAAATACATCAATTACAAGGTTAACTTACATGTTTCAAGTTTGATACCTTGTGTCATATCCAACATCGAGGCGCAAGATATGCATATTTGTTCTATTATTTTGCTTGATAGGGTTTTCAGAGGTTAATTGAGTTATGCTGTATTCCTTGCTCTACATGCCAAAGTTTTGTTGATGAGCAGGGATGAACCATTTACAAAAGTTCTTCTATGCATAAATCATTAATAGTATGAGATGTATATGAATGTCGATTATTCAATGTTAAGATGAGAGAAATACTAAACCTCATATAGATGGATACTCGAGTAATTGTCCATGATATGAGTTATTTCATCCCTAATATCTTAGAAATCTCCTTGTATTTTGGTTTGTTAACATATTGATGTGCTCGTGGTATTCAGGTGAGTACATAAGCTCCTCAAGTTTTGAAGTTGAGTATTCTGTAGTGGATTATGTATGAGGGTGAACAAGTTGTATCTTGCCAATTTAATTTGTCATCACTTTATCTTTATGATGATACATTTAATGCAAATACAAGACTCTCATCATTGCATCATTTATATGATTTTCAAAGCATTTTATCAGTTTTTTATTCAAGGAATTCAAATAGTTTATATTTTACTCCACTTTTACTTCATCATCTTCACTAGTTCACTTTACTATCATTCACTGCCTTCATTTATTGTTCATTACGTATTCTCCTTGTCTTTGTACTAATTTCATCCCATTGTAAGATACCTTACCACTAACCTTGCCTTTTGCTTTTTGTTTAAGAAATGTCTTCTTCTTTCTCGACTGGCTCTTATAAAAATGTCACCCCGTTGTTGCCGGGGAGGTTCACTCAATCTCAATTGGATGTGACTCCTTTGATCTTGAGAGTATGAAAATTACCAACTCGGCTTTTGATGAAGTTAAATTTATTTTTTCTATGGCAGTTTTTGTTCTTGTCGTGAGTTCTACTCCACCTTGTCACGTGTGAATATAACTAATTGTAGACTTCTCAACCTATTTTGGTTCCTTAATTTCTCTGGTGAGACCTTCACGTATGGCAAATCATTACATAGAGATGGACTTCAAGCCCACAAATAAAATACATCTAACAATAACATAAAATTCAAACCTTCTTTTTAAACTAAAAATTAAATTTTTCTACAAAAATATTTACTTAGTGAAATTTACGGATAAGTCTGGGAACACATGGATTAAATTTGTTAAGCTTCAGTAGGAGCAACTCACACGAGTTATTTTTTAATTTAAAAAATGTAAAATAAAGATTTATGATGTCATATAATTTTTAAGCAACTCACTATCAATTTTATTCCATTAGAAATTTTTTTAGTAAATTTCAAAGAATTTATTTTATCTTCTATTCTTCTTTCTCATTTACTTTATTTTGTTTATTTTTGTAAGCTACTTGGTGAAACAAGTATAAAAGAAAATTTAAATAACTTATATGTCACATAGGATAATTTTCAATGAAAATAATTTTCAATGAAAAGTTATTTCAAACCACTAATATTTTATTTAAACATTTCAATAAATAACTCTAATTAAAAATACTCTTATAAATTTCATGGATTGGGTTCATCTTCTGATGATATTAAATGTTTTTCAAAAATAGACTTGTTATTCGCAAGGTATGCAAATTTAATGGACCAGTCGTAGACTCAAGTTCATCAACCTACTCCTTATAATAATTATATTTGTACTTTATCCTCAAAAATGCATTGTTAATGTACATAAATTTGTGGAAATGCAATGATACATATGTTCTCATCATTGGTATTTTGATTGCTTAAGTTGTTTAAAGTGCTTTATTTTTATGGCTTTATAATTGATTGTGTTATTGTTGATAATGTACATGACAAACATAGGTAAAAAACTTGGTCGAAAAAGTCAGTTGGTTAGATCATAGCCAACACAAAAGAGAGACAAATGCAAAGTAAGAAAGAGGTTAAAAACATGAGGTACTAGGCTGCAAAAATTTAGATAGATGATGATATCACTATAATAAGATATGAAAACTGTAACAATCAAATGAAAAAGATCATAGAATATTAAAAATTCAATATTGTTAATCAACTAGCACGAATTTTTATATCATGCATTTTATTGTTTAGCTATTTCAATTTTAATATTAGAATGGAAGTTGAATGATTTTAATGCTTTACTCAGTTTGGGCGACGTCCTACAACGATATTGGGATTATTTAGGAGGGAGTGGTACCGACACAAAGGTATGGACATGTGCTAGATATATTGCACTTTCATACAAGATAAAATAAAAATCCAACTAGTAGTAAGGATAACTAAAATGTCTAGTTACAAGGTAACAAGGATGAAAAAAACACTCAATTTTTTCAAGGTATTGATGTATCATTTTGGTAGTGGCTAAGTTGGAACTACAACAATTAAATAGGTGAATTCCAATATAAAATATAGGGTGATTCTTATTGTTACTATAATAATGGTAAAGTTCTATTATTTTTTGGTTTTTTCCTCTTTGATTCTGAATGAAAATATGCTTCAATGCACTTAGTTACGCCAAAAATGTATTTTATGTTCTACAAGTCTAAAATGTGGTTGAGCAAAAGAAAGTGATGCAAAAATATTTTGTTTTAGTCTTTTAGGGAATTGTTTGAAGTAAATGCAGAATGTAGAAGTGATGGTGGAAAAAACATGTCATTATCTATATTATTGTTATTATTATTATTATTTTGGTTGCAGGAACTCCGCTTTGAAATTGCAGAGATTTGGTCTGGTTCAACGTTTTCTCAATTAGTGAAAAGGTTATCCCTTGCATTCATCTTCCTACAACATTAAGGTATGAATGAATCACTAATATATATTTCATTGTAGGCAATATGGTGCTTCTGAACTTGAGCATCTTAGTGTGACTGACCTTATGGAACTAGAGAAAGTGATTCATACTTCTCTTTCGCAAATCAGATCAGCGAAGGTTTACACTCTATTTTGTGAAAGAACTTTAATTCATTAAGTGTATTTACACCAATTTGCTTTGACAATGACAATAAAAAAGAAAAAAGAAAGTATTATTCCTGGAACTTGATGCCATTATATAATCTCTATTCTCTAGGTGTCATAACATGATAAAAGCTCTTTATATAACAAAAGTCATTTGAATTTTTAACATTCATAAGTGAAAAAGTGTCCTACGAGTATTTGCTCGATGTAGAATTGGCCATAATTTGTAGGGAACTATTTTTGTCAGTATTTTAATAACGGTTAAAAGACATGAGACCTTCATTGGAACTTTACTTGGTACCTTAAGCTATGTTTTGTTGTCATTTTGGATGCTCCAAACTTAATTTGGAGGGAGGGCAAACATTGTTTGGAAACTCAATATAGAAATAAAACTTGGGTTGGTTTTGAAACTTTATTTGTAAACTTTAATTCAAACCTGTGCTTAAGATTTTATTGATGGTTAATTCGCATGAGTCCCATTCTAAGTCTACTTGCCTAAGTGAGATATTTCTTTCTCCCAAGGATAGCTCTCTTTTCATACGCGCTTAACGTGTCATGGATTTCATGCAAGCGAGTCATCAATTTTTTGTCTAAGTTTGCTTAAGCAAGCACTTCGTCTTAATTCTTTGATCATATTGTTGGAAATTTTTAGGATTTTGTATATGTGTATTTCTAATATATCATGTGGGTATATTTTTATTCATGTACTCTATGAATATATAGAGTAAAAATATTATAAAATATCAAATATCAATAATATCTCAATCATAATTGTCTAAATCAAAATAATAATTTAATATCTTTTTACATTCTCTCTTAAAAGATAATAAAATCTCTTAATACCTAATTTAAATAAAAGATAATAAAGTAATATTTTCAACATTCTTCCTTACTTTAATATCTATTTTTTTGAATTTGATATTTTTTTGTCTTTTATTTTGTTTATAATTTTTCCTCCTTTTTTATTTATATTTCTTGTCATCTTTTTTGTATGAGATCACATCTTCATTCAACTTCATTTTCTTCATCAAAGTATTTCTTCTTTATCAACTTCATCTCCTTTATTTCTTTCAAACTTCTTCATGGTAGTACCGTTGATTACTTGATGGACGTTGAAAATAGTTTCTTCATCTACATCTTTATTTTCCTTCTTAATATCAAGTTCCTTCAAGAAATCTTCTTCATGCTTTTTCTTTGACCTTTCTTTTAATTTTCGTTTGTAATTAACTCTTCTTTCATCAAATATAAAGTGAAACTTTTTTCTTTCATGTGAACTTTGAATATTTCCAAGTTACTTGTATCTTTAATCACACAAACTTTCTGTTCAAAAGACATCTTATAACTTTTCTCCAATAAGTGAGCAATACTTAACAAATTATGATTAATATCAGGAACATATAAACATCAAAAATTAATTTGATACCCGAATGACTTTTAACTGCAATTGTTCTTGTACCTTTCACGTCCATTTGTTCTTTATTACCAATTCTCACTTTAGAAATGTGTTTTGTTGAGCTCTTTGAAAAATTCTTGATCATGAGTCATGTGGTTTGTACAACCATTATCTATAAGCCAACTTGTGAATTTGTTGTTTGTAGAGCATGTTGATGCAAGGAGAAGCTCTCCTTTTACTCCATCCTCTATAACTTGAAGAAGTTTCCCTTCTACTCCATCCTCTATAATCTTGACGGCTTTTTCTGGTTGTGATTTGCATATCTTTTCTATATGTCCCAATTGACCACATTTTTTACATTTCACATCAGGCCTCCACCAACACTTGTTGAGTGTGTGATTATTTTTCTTGCAATAAGGACAAACAGAAAAGGTTTGTGATTTTGTACCTTTATTGTTCTTGCCTTGGAGAGAACCTCCATCATGATATAGTAAAAAACCTTCACCAGCAGCATAATCTCCTCTCATCAATCTTCGTTGCTCTTGCGTTTGTAAAACATGTAACACTTCTGTCAAAGTAATATTAAACAAATCCTTTGTATTTTCCAATGAAGCAATAGATGTTTCATATTTTCTGTCAAAGTAATATTAAACAAATCATTTGTATTTTCCAATGAAGCAATAGATGTTTCATATCTCTCTGGCACAGTTACCAGAATTTTCTCAATTATTTTGGAATCAGAAAATTCCTTCCCTAACAATTTTATTTTGTTAGTAATACCCAACAATTTGTTTGAGTATTCATTAATTGTTTGAGAGACTCTTGCATCTTTTGTATCTCAAATTTCGTTATCAAGTTTAAAACTTTCAGACTTCGAATTTTCTTATCCCCTTTGTATTGATCTTTTAAATAATTCCAAATTTCTTTGGGTAACTTTAGCGTCATGATTCTGGTGAGGATCATTTGTGAAACACCAGCAAACAGACATGATTTAGCTTTTGCCTTTCTCGTTTTTCTTTATTTGTAAAATTTCATTTCAGCTATGGTGGGATTTTCAGGTAGTGGATCAACAATATAATCTTCTTCTACAACTTCCCATACATCAAATCCTTCAAGATAGGATTGCATTCTCATAGCCCATAAGTCATAATTTTCGCCATAAAAAACTAGAATAGCGACTTGTGAAAAATTTATTTCTTCTTCCATTGTATCGAACCAAAGCTCTTGATACCACTATTGGAAATTGTTAGAGTTTTGTGTATGTGTATTTCTAATATATCATGTGGGTATATTTTTATTCATGTACTCTATGTATATATAGAGTAAAAATATTACAAAATATCAAATATTAATAATATCTCAATCATAATTGCCTAAATCAAAATAATAACCTAATATCTTTTTACCTTCTCTCTTAAAAGATAATAAAATCTCTTAATACCTAATTTATATAAAAGATTAATAAAGTAATATTTTTAACACATATTACTTAAGCAAACATTTATCTTCACTTAAGCAAGTCCTAATATTTCCAAAATCTTAGTTCTAAATTTGTGATCTCTTAAGCAAGTATTTTCTTTCGTTAAGTGAGTGAATCTTCAATTTATATTGAGCTCCTTGTCTTAAGCAAACATCATACCCTACTTAAGCAAGAATATTTGTATTATTCACATGACTGCTTGGAAATACTAAAAAACTCATTCCTAAATAATACTTTTTAAAGATTCAATTATTTACTTTTTCCTGGCACTAAGGTCTAAAAGCCTAAGATATTTGTTTAATTAATTATTATGAATGTAATTATCATGGTACATTGTAGACCCCAAATCTTGCCCGGACTCCTAATAAAGCCGAAGATCGCTCATTCCGAAGATGGTTAAGACTCTATCAAGTCCCTAGCAGCTTGTTATAGGATCCATTTAGGATAGGAAAGGTTTTTTAGAGGCATTAAAAATCGGGAAAACCGTCGGAGATAGCAGATGGCCGTCCAAAACAGGCGGATGACCGTGCAGAGCAGGCAGACGGCCGTCCATGGCAAGCAGACGACCGTCCATGGCACTTTAAGGTCATGGACGGCCGTCCATGACAAAAAGTCACCATGGACGGCCGTCCACACTACATAGACGGCCGTCCATGGCCACTTTTTACCCTGGACGGCCGTCTGCTTTGTCCAGACGGTCGTCCGCCTTTCCTGGCCCGCTTCCCTATAAAAAGGGACCTCATTCCTCCGAATTTTCACACCTTTTTCACTCCTCTGCTCTCTGAGAAGCCTCTTGGCACTTGAGGGTGACCCCGAGCATTATTCCGGGGTTCGAGGGAGCTCTCCGATTTCCGTTAAAGTTGAAATCGGTTAAGGAAGTCTCTTTTTGAGGCATCCGGCCCTCGGTTGAGGGACTTTTTCAGTGTTTTACGGAGAGGAGTATACTTGTAGAGTGCGGGGACTGCCAAAAAGCATCCTCACGTTTTAGAAGAGTTAATACAAAGCTCGCTTCAGAGGTTTCTTCTCTATTCTTTGTCTCTTTTACTGCTTTCTTTACCGCTTTCTTTATGTGCATTAGATAGTAGAGCCATGTAGATATTTAAACTCTGTAAGTAAATCAAATAATGGGGTAAAAATGTAATTTCTTTAAGTATTTATTTCCTAAATTAGTCTATCATAGGGAACCCGATAGGGGCGATGTGGGGGTGCTAACACCTTCCCCGCACGTAACTAACTCCCTTACCTGACTCTAGTTGTAATGGCCAAGGTTGGTTTTTTATAAAACCAATGCCTTTTCTTTTTTTACCTTTTTCAGTGTTTAAGGTTAAAACACTGGTGGCGACTCCTCGAACCTATTCGAAAACCTCACCCTTAGGTCTAGTCCGGTTATCGGACGACCTAAAGGCGTTCGACCATTTCTTTCAAAGAAAACGCGAGTCAATAAAAAACCATAGCGTCGCTCCGACCGCCTTTTCTGACGGTGGCGACAGATGGCGACTCCACTGGGGAAGCTAGAGAGTTGATCCCATTTAGTGATGGACTAGTTCAGGAAATAAAAACTAGAAATTATGCTTTTACCCTTTCTTGCTTTTATAACATGCTTTACTGTTTGGCTTTAATAATTGTTGTATGATTTTTTTCTGCAATTGTCTGAAATAAAACTGTACACAACCTTTGCACACTACAGTCCCTCTATACCCGGGGGCAAGAGAGAATACACATAGGGAGTGGGTGGCGAGTACGACCAGACCATGGTATGTGCCATAGTGCCAGCGAGTCGTTGTCGGAAACCACCACTCAAGGTGATAACTTTCTTTTTCTTGGTTTAAGAACGTTGACACGGACATCCGTGCATGGTTCGAAGACTAGGAAATCGAAGGGTCCCTATAATGGGGGCACCTTGGGGGCCTGACCTTGGTGAGAACAGTTAGAACCTACCTTTGCTTATGCACTTTTCTACAGGAAACCCCTACCTCGTAATTAAACGCCACTCTGTTCGCGGATGAGTGAACTGTTTGTGCATTCGTTTGTCACATTTGTTTGTTGCGTAGCATAATCATACAACAACAAAAAATATATAATAAAAATCTCAAAAACATTCTTTCACAATAAAACACTCTTATCTCGGACAGTTTGTCTCTTAGCTAGCCTGGTAAGTGCCATAATGAAAGGAAATAGGGTTTTTTTTCTTTTATTAAGCATCAAATCCATCATGTAGGTAGTTTTATTATTTTTCAAAAAAAAAAAAAAAATATATATATATATATATATATATATATATATATATATATATATATATATATAAATCATGTACCATATAGAAAATAAAACATGATAATATTTAGGAAAAACAAACACTTTCATGCATACAAAAGCATCATATTCATACCATGCATTTTTTGTCATTTCTAGAAAATGGAGGGATCAAGTAGTAAACAAGTTGGGAAAAGTGGATATTCCTCGATACCGTATTGAGAAGTTGGAGCGGCTTTGTGCGCTTATGCCATCGAAGTTTGGTCCGACTTCGAGAAATCTTACTGGACGGATTTTGGACCTCCCGAAAATATTTGTTGACCATGTGTTCATCGGGGTCCTAATCCACTTACGGAGCTCCAGTTACACTCGCTTCGAGTTCCCTCGGTTTGATCCGGTTCCGACTTTGGAAGAGTACGAACTTATGATCAAATGGCCCAAGTCAGCTGGGGTATACATTAGCCAAGGGGCCTACGTCTCGGTAAACAAGATCGCTCACCTCATCCGATTACCACTTTCACGGTCACGCCCGAAAGGAAAAGGGAACATTCGAGGGTGGAAGATATAACTTTTAGAGGATCACTTAACCTCTCTGGCTGAAAAAGGAGATTGACCCACTTTCAACAAGACCCTGGCATTAATTATGTTTGGGACCTTTCTATTCCCTTTCCATAATGACGCCGTGGATCACGCCGCAATGGACGCCTTCTTTGCTTGGGAGGCACATTTAAAAAGTCCCGCTCCTGCTCTTCTTGCCGATACCTTGCTGTCAGTGGAATTCTGTCATCATAAGCAAGGAAAAACACTTCGTTGTTGTTCTGCATTGTTGTTTGTTTGGGGTATCACTCACTTCTATGCCTCAAGTTATATGGGAGCATTCCCAGACCCGTTGAGAAGCTTCTCGAAGATCCCCCTCCATCATCGTGGTGCCATAGAGTGGAAGGCCGAGTTGGAACACTCGGAACATAGATCACATATCTTGGGCATGTCCTTGGTTCCGACTCGACCCGTTCTCATCCGATGCGGAGATCACCCCAGTATACCATTATTGGGCCTCAGGGGCTTCATAGCTTATTCTCCAAAGATAGCTCTGAGGCAGCTCATGAGAACCCAGACCACCCCAACGCCGGAAGAAATTGGGGGATTGTGTTTCTTCTGCAATTCCAACAGCTTCAAGGACGCTTCTGTGATCCGAAAAGCATGGGAGAGACCAGTCTATGAGGGGGACGAAGAGCTTGGTAGAGTTCGAATAGCAGTTTCCAGTGACTTTGAAGAATGGAGGAAAAATAGAGGGGTGCCACATCCATCCACTCCATCCCCCTCGCCGTTAGCAAATGCAGAATTACGAGCTCGAGTCGATGCCTTAACCCGAAAGATAGAAGTTATGGGAGCCCAATTGAGGGGCCTTGAAGAAAAAGAACAAGAATCTATTCTTACCATCGATGGTCTACAAAGGCAGTGCAAGAAGAAGGACCAAGAGATAGAACGCCTCAAGGACCAGTATGCTGACTCCAACAAAGAGGTTGCTCGAGCATCTAAAATTGCTAGAGCAGGCTCAGATAATCAAATCCAAGAAATAACGGCTAAATTAGCACACCTTGAGGCTGAATTAGCAAAGCAAGCACAAACAACCCAGACAATACAACGAGACCTCGAAAGAACTCGGTCTGAGGCACAACGAAAGAGGAAAGTCGCCCAAAGACTTAGCAGAGACTTGGCTGAGCTACGATGCAAGGAAAGAGACGGATTAGCTCAGTACGACCAAGTGTTGCAAGAAAGAGACCGAGCCCTTGAGAAACTTGATGACTTACAAGCATTGGTCATCCATCAAGAGGCAAAGATAGAAGAGGCTCGTAAATACAGCGAAGATATGAGCCAGGCGGTCCATCGCCAGTGTGAAGTACTCAATCATCATGTACGGGAAGTCGAGGAGGAACTACGTAGAAACCAGAGCCCGCCTATGGGTTTCTTTAGACTTTACCGTTTCTGCCAAAACGTACTTTGTAGCATGGTCTAGGGGAATGTACACTTTTTCCAGATAAATAGAATCACGTTTTGTTTATCTTTATAACTGTTTATTGCATTCATCTCGCATTCATTCACATATCCCTCCTTGCTTTAAAAATTAATAAGACAACTAAAAAAGAAAGGTTAAGCGATGTCTTTGTCATACAACGAAAAAAATGGAACGAAAACCACTCATCATTAGTCTTGCCTCAACGGTTGAGCCACTCACAACGACCAATAAAACTCAACCGCTGGTTATCACTATCGGTAAAGAAGAGGGGACTAGGACACCATTACGATTATTCATGCCTCGTCCTTTCCCCTACGAATCAAACAAAGCTGTACCATGGAAATACGCAGTAAATAAAGATGTTTCCAATATAGCCGGTATTTGGGGCACAACCAGAAGTGGGCGAATATATGCTCCCAAAAATTCGTAGGAAGATGCCCCCAACAATAAAGAAAAAAATAAAGAAACCGAAGAAGAAGACAAAAGAGAATCCAAGGGGGAAGAAGACGAATTACTTCAGTTCATAAGGCAGAGCGAATACTCCATCATAGACCAACTCAATCGCACGCCTGCGAAAATAACTTTGTTGTCTCTGATAATGAGTTCAGAACCACACCGAAACGCACTGTTGAGGGTCTTGAACGAAGCCCACGTATCCCACACCATATCCCAAGACAAGTTCGAAGGAATCATTGAGAATATCACAGCCAGTAATCATCTCACCTTCACTGATGAAGAACTTCCCCCTGGAGGGTCGAACCATAACAAGCCTTTACACATATCTGTCAAGTGTAGAGAACACCTCATCACCAAAGTCCTTGTCGATAATGGGTCATCCCTGAACGTCATGCCTAGATGCACACTTGACAAATTGACGATTCAAGGAGTCCATATACGTCCAAGCAACACCATCGTGCGAGCCTTCGACGGATCAAAACGTGAGGTAGTAGGAGAAATCAATCTACCAATCCGGACCTTGGATTCACGACGCCAAAGCAATCCCATCAACGCTCCACCAACGGATCAAATTCGTGGTAGGCAACAAACTGGTCACAGTTCAAGCCGAAGATGACATCTTGATCAGCAAGCTGCCTACTCTATCTTATGTGGATACAACAGAAGAGGCCATTGAAACATCCTTCCAGGCGCTAGAAATTGCCAATGTCGATAGACTTCCCAACAACATGAGAGTGGTACATATGATGACAAAATACGGATACCGCCCAAGCCAGGGACTCGGTACGAATTCCCAAGGAATAAGAGAGCCACCAGATTTTAAAGACAATCCGTTGAAACGTGGTCTAGGGTACAACCCCAGGACAAGAATAAAAGGGAAGTCTTCCCTCCGCCCGCTGAATCAGATTTTCCGAAGCGGAAGGATACAGGCGTCAGGAGCAACTTTAGTCATTAAGTGTTCTTCTTCCATTTTTTAAGGAATGTAAACCCAATGACTATTAGAGATTACTCCCCGGGGGCAGCCTGACCCCCGGGCATTTTCAGGGCACATATTACCCTTTTAATCACAGGAGAATATAATTCTTACTATCTGCTTCTCTTCTTACTACTCATGTCTACGCCTCATTAATAACCATGCTTAAGCAAACGTTTCTAAAAAGGCGTCTAAAAAAAAAATTTGAAAGTGCACCAACAGTAAAGAAACAAATTAAAACATCATCGATTGACCAGAAAACACGAATAAGGTTTTACCCCATCACAAGGAAACCATGATTTGCATAAATAAATAAAAAAGGCCCATAAAAGCCAAAGGCCAAAAAGAAAAGGGCATCCAACTCGGTAGGAAACCCACAAAAGGGGCTACGCAAAAGTTAGGGTCGACCCGCTAGGAAACCCGACCAATAATAAAGGGTAGCCTAGGCAAAAGATAGGGTTACAAAACAAAGTCCATTAGGGTTTCTAAAGCATAATAAAAAGAAACCCCAACAAAAATATCCTAGATTGAAAACTGAAGGGCGGTCTAGGAAAGACAATCAGTCTTAGCAGACGCTGCAAAGCTCACCAAGCAAAGACGCAACCCCACAAATAAACGTTTGTTTAAGCTAAACCTAAACAGTCTGACTAACTTCGGCTAGCCATGCTTACAGATACCATTGGTTTCAAAAAACCCCTCTAAAAACACAAACCTTTGATTTAATCATCCTTTTCCTTCTTTTCTCTTGACCTTAATCACTATGATATTCTAGCGATTAACCGGGTAATATGAAAGTACAGTAATCAATAGGAGGATTGAAATTCCGAAAAAAAAGGAAAAAGCACACTAGTATGACGAAAAAGCTCTCCAATACGATCATACTTCGGTTAAGGCAAAACCCAAGACGGCAGAAATGGTACAGCTGAAGATAACACCAGAAGAATCTCTCCGTTAGAAGCATCTCTCCGTCAAGAGTACATCAATTAATTTTTCTGAAAGTAATTAATTGAAATAGCATTATAAGTTGCATATCATGAACATTACATGCATAGATGTTAATGAATAAGGTCCTATTTCCTTCAAAAATAATAAACAAAAGAAAAAATAAAAAAACAGCAAAAGAAGAGCAAATGGCCGTCTGTTTAGGGCAGATGGCCATCCAGCAGGAGCCGTTGGAGGGCAGACGACCGTCCACCCTTGCCAGATGGCCGTCCGGAGGTTGCCGTTGGGGGCAGACGGCCGTCCACCATTGCCAGACGGCTGTCCATAGGTAGCCGTTGGGGGCAGACGGCCGTCCACCTAGAGCAGACGACCGTCCGCCCCTGTTTCTCTTGCCTATAAATTTAGGCGCCCCAAATGGTCCATGACACCTCATTCTTGCATTCTCCCTTCCTTTTACACCTTCTTCTGCATATTTTGAGTGTTTTTGGTTGAGTAATGGATCGTGGAGAGTCGTCTACACGTCGGAAGCGCTCCCGGGGACCCATAAGGAGCATCCCTCCTCCTCGGGTTCCCACTCGGTCGACCGAAGCAAGCATCGGGCCGGGTTTGCCAATATCGGCCAATATGTTTGGCACCCTATGCTCGATTGGACTTCAACATCTTAGCCATGTTTGGTTGGGATCAAGATGTAAGGAGATACATCCAAGGCATAGGGTGGGACTTCCTGCTCAAAGATCCACCTACCCGCATCCATCGTACGGCCACGTTGGAATTCCTTGCTTGACCACACTCATAGACCTACCATCAATGATCCCCGGGCTTCCACCGTCACGGCGAGTCACCTATTGGATGAATGGGGCTTACCGGACTAATGTCATAGACGACTTCAACGTCCTCATGGGGTTCCATCAGCCGCGAGAAATCCGGACACCGAATACGTGGGGCATTCCGTGAAAGGCCGACCACCCTCACCACCGATCGAGATATGGGAGGAGGTCACCGGCTCCCGGCGACGTTCCCGCCAATCCAAAAGGGACCGCCTTTCCCCACCTCTCCGCATCTGTCATAAATTGCTAGCGAGCACCCTTCACGTACGGAAGGAAAGTCAAGGCAAGGTCACCCGTGCGAGACCTCTTTGTCATCTATCGCATGCATCAAGGGATCCGATGCAACCCAGGCTACCTCTTCTTGAAGGCCCCGAAGGACTTTGGGACGCGAGGTCCCGCAAGATCCCTCATGGTAGGCCCCCTTATCACTCCTCTAGCCGAGTATTGGGGATGCCCCGATGGAGAAGACATTCCCCCTACCCTGCGACCGGAGCTCATAGATGGTCCGATACTCGCCCACATGAGCATGCTCACCCGTCAGGGCACCTCCTGGGTCATACATCCTATCCTCGCTATGACGTTCGACATCCAGGAGATGGACGCTTCAGAGTCGCAAGAGACGCCCGTCGCTCCAGGAGCCCAATAGCAACAGACGTAGTACGAAGATAATCTCGCCAGCCTGCACCGGCACATGAGCGACGACAGGGTTCACTCAGATAGGCAGTACCAGCACCTATGCCAATAGATCGATCAGTTGTCCTTAAGACAGCAAAGCTATGAGCAAGGTCGGGAAAGCCTTACCCTGAGGGTAGACGGCCTCATGCAGAGAATGGACACAATGGGCCAAGACATACACGGCATGATCCGAAGCCAGGAAGAGTTCCAGCACCGCGTACTCCGCCGACTCCCTTCGCCATCACCATCCTCAGCATCCAGCTCAGAGCCGGAAAGCTGAGATCTTTATGAAAGCTCCTATTGTACTTTAATTTTCCGCAAAAAATAAATAAAATAAGACTTTATGTTTCCATCTTATCGCAAAAGTCAGCATGCTTAGAAAAATTAAGAAGATAAAAAGGCACATGCGTCATTCCAAATCAAAAGAGGAATAAAATTGCAGAAAAATGAGAAATTAATCAAATATTCCAACTACCAACATCAAAAGGCAATCATTAAAATCCCCGGCAACCAACAAGTCGGACGATTGAAGAAAAAATTCCATTTCCCCAACAAGAATAAGAGCTTGACGACGCCAGTTCGCACCCATATCAATTAAAGAGCCAAGACCCCCATTACCCCCAAAGGGCTATCAAAAATGGATCTCCAAGGAGTCAACCAAATCTCTGGTGGGTCACCAAAAAGAAGAATTTACACCCAAATGCAATCTTCACAGTCATATTCTCAGAGGCATCATCAAGAGCCAAAACTTTGCCCATTTAGAGACAAAACATTACAGTCAAAAAGTCTTCACTTCCGATGAAACATCTGCCTACTTAGAGGCAATACCAGAACCTCAATGGAATATTTGCATGCCTAAGAGGCATTCATCAAGAATCCCCAGTAATCAAGAAACTGGACGACTAAACAAAAATCCAAAAGCGAGGAATCCTCGGCATACCGGATGATTACGCAAAAATCAAGAACAATCACTCCCCATGGAGTCGGCGCATGATCAGAAACAGTAAGCCGCCACCATCCCTTCAGGAAACGGAAGGACCTGAAAACAAAGACCTTCACACAGGCAAAGACCGGCGCATGGCCAGAAGCAGCAAGCCGCCACCACAGCAGAGGGGTCAGCTACCATATCGAAGGAGCATCCCGAAAGTCTCTACGTGTCAGCAGAAGGGTCAGCTACCGCACCGAAGGAGCATCCTGAAACCTCACAACATCTTGACCGAGGGGTCAGCTACCGCATCAAAGGAGCATCCCGAAAGTCTCTACCGAAGGGTAAGCTACCACACCCAAGGAGCATCCTGAAGCCTCACAGCATATCGTCCGAAAAAGTCAGCCTCCACAGCAAGAAGAGCATCCAGAAGACAACCGGGCAAGGGGGTTAACTCCTTCACACGCCATTTGACCTCATAAGTAGGTTAACCCCTGGTCAATTGGTCGGGTAAAGGGGGGGCAGCTGTAGACCCCAAATCATGCCCGGACTCCTAATAAAGCCGAAGATCGCTCATTCCGAAGATGGTTAAGACTCTATCAAGTCCCTAGCAGCTTGTTATAGGTTCTATTTAGGATAGGAAAGGTTTTTTAGAGACATTAAAAATCGGGAAAACCGTCGGAGACAGCAGATGGCCGTCCAAAATAGGCGGATGGCCGTTCAGAGCAGGCAGACGGCCGTCCATGGCAAGCAGACGGCCGTCCATGACACTTTAAGGTCATGGACGGCCGTCAACTTAGCTTGGACGGCCGTCCATGACAAAAAGTCACCATGGACGGCCGTCCACACTACATAGACGGCCGTCCATGGCCACTTTTTACCTTGGACGGTCGTCCGCTTTGTCCAGACGGCCGTCCGCCTTTCCTGGCCCGCTTCCCTATAAAAAGGGACCTCATTCCTCCGAATTTTCACACCTTTTCCACTCCTCCACTCTCTGGGAAGCCTCTTGAGGGTGACCCCGAGCATTATTCCGGGGTTCGAGGGAGCTCTCCGATTTTCGTTAAAGTTGAAATCGGTTAAGGAAGTCTCTTTTTGAGGCATCCGGCCCTCGGTTGAGTGACTTTTTCAGTGTTTTACGGAGAGGAGTATACTTGTAGAGTGCGGGGACTGCCAAAAAGCGTCCTCACGTTTTAGAAGAGTTAATACAAAGCTCGCTTCGGAGGTTTCTTTTCTATTCTTTGTCTCTTTTACTGCTTTCTTTACCGCTTTCTTTATGTGCATTAGATAGTAGAGCCATGTAGATATTTAAACTCTGTAAGTAAATCAAATAATGGGGTAAAAATGTAATTTCTTTAAGTATTTATTTCCTAAATTAGTCTATCATAGGGAACCTGAAAGGGGCGTTGTGGGGGTGCTAACACCTTCCCCGCACGTAACTAACTCCCTTACCCGACTCTGGTTGTAATGGCCAAAGTTGGTTTTTTATAAAACCAATGCCTTTTCTTTTTTTACCTTTTTCAGTGTTTAAGGTTAAAACACTGGTGGCGACTCCTCGAACCTATTCGAAAACCTCGCCCTTAAGTCTAGTCCGGTTATCGGACGACCTAAAGGTGTTGGACCATTTCTTTCAAAGAAAACGCGAGTCAATAACAAACCATCGCGTCGCTCCGACCGCCTTTTCTGACAGCGGCGACATACATGAATGAGGAGGGGGAAGTGATCTTTGCTCATGTTGGTTAAGCCTATTGTAGTGATACACATTCTTTACTTAATCATCATTTTACACTATGTTCGGGTTCTTCTCATTCTTTAATATCACCAAAAACCTGTCTTTAATTCGGATTATAGGTTGTAACTCACCTACATGAAGCAAGAATCGCTAGTAATCATTGGTCAGTCATACGACAGTGAATTCATTCTCAAGCATTATACACACCGCCTGAAGTTGTTACCTTAACCTCAAGGAAGGGGATGCCAAAGGCAGGACTAGTAACTAGTGTCATTTTCTTTTACAATGATTGTCATCTAGCACATTAGTTAAATGAAATGGGGTCATGGTAATTTCTTTCCTTTTCCATTTTCAATTTATATAGTATCATCTTCAAACATAATGATTGGTCATTGACCTAGATGCATAGATACTCGTGACCTCTCCTATATTTTCTCTGACGAAAATCAAGTGAGTAGAAGTTTCACATTGGTCAAGGATAAACAAGATGCGCAATATATAAGAAGAAAGACCTACAAATCTATTATCTTAAAAATTTGAGTCGGAAAAGGTGTGATGTTCTATTATATAGTAAGTTCATGACCCATTAATAAAATTATCACCCCATGTAAAAAAAAAAGGTGTGTTCAACACCACAAGTCCGATACATTGTTGAAAAAACAATACCAATGGAATCACTTGCCTTCATAATATATCTTGAATGGAGTAGACCAATAACATAGTTTAATCCAATTATTTACGTCTACACAATCATCTCAAAGTATTTTATTATATAAATCTAATTATAAGAATGGTAATCCTCCTCAAATTGTGCATCATTTTGTAAATCCATCCAAATACCTCAACTAAGCGTTATAAGAAATTATAACACAATAAAGAGATTACTAGAGTGGGAGAGTCAAAGTTGAAAAGAGGATTCCTTACTTCTTTCTCTCATTCAAAACCGTGCATAAGACTTTCATCTCACACGACTCCTAAGTGATAAAAGAAAAATGATGAGTTATTTTTTCTTTTTTGATTACTTTCCTTGCATATGTATAAGACTAAATTCTTTCTATTTTGAATTTTCAGAAGGTTGCTAATCCTTAACTAGTATGATCCTTTGTAGGAACTACCCATAATAACAAACTTGCGAAATGAATTGGTTTATCATGAAGGGATTTGTTGTTCCTAACTCTGCATCACCTTAAATGTTATATATTCACACACTTTCTTCTCTGCATTAGATGGAATGATGCATCTTCTTCACATGACTCTTTCATGTAGACTCTTATATATCTAAGCATTATGGCTTCACATGTAGTCTTCCCGGCCCATTTTGGTTGCACTTTTGCCTATCCTCTCTCCGTAAACAGATTTTAAACCTTTTCTTTAACAAATAAGGTATATTATTATTTATCTTTACTTAAGGACAAAAGGAGATCCTTTCCATTCTAGTGATGGTGTTGTATATCAGACTGTTTGTGTGAGAGTTCATCCTGAACAACTATATAATGATCTATGTCATAACTAGTATCTGCATGCTGTTGCAAGCTGAATTTGTGGATTAACCGTTTCCAAGTTCCTTTTGCTGTTGACTACAGCTACATTTTAGATTCTGTTATGAAGATTTTCCCGAGCCTTCTGACTTATGGCAATAGTGGCAAGGATAACAAATTTTAAAATTGCAGTTTAGGAAGCAGTTGTCATTATCTCCACCGGCTTTTTACATTTAAGACAGACTACTCTAATTCAAGATTTTTATGCAGATGCGATTAATGATGGAATCCGTTGTTGATCTTAACAAAAAGGTATGCAATTGGTTAGAGTTATTCGAATTCCTCATATTCTATATTGCAATTAAAGTTTATTCAAAATGCAAATGAAATTTTGTAGACTATGATGTATCTATACAAAAAATTGATGCTAACTATGCAAACAAGACACACTCAATTACCAAGATATTTCACATACTCGACATTTTGCCTCTGCAACATGCAACTTTATTAGACACAAATTATCTTGTTCTGTTTCTTATTGTCTGAATACCAAAATGGACTCGGACTGATAAACAGTTGATCAAAGTCCAATTATGGTTTGTTAACCTTTTTGTTATTTTTTACATGTTTTGTTACTCCAAACAGGAACATACATTGAGAAAAGAAAAGGAGCTTTTGGAGAAACAGGTAAAATGAAGTATAAAAAGCCACGCACTTGAATTGAAAGTTACATGTCAATACCTATTGACCAACATTCGATATATCGTCGAAGTATTGAGGAGAATATTTGGTCTGTTATATTTATAGAATTAAGAATACACATGACATATTTCTAAAAATTAGAATAAACATTTTTTTCAGGACAAGAAATGAACATTGGATAATGAACACAACTAATTCACCATTATTGTTATTATCTTATTTAATTTTAATGATTTTTTTATAAATCTTGGTTATTAACCGAAGAAAATACTAGTTGAACTCACCGGTCAATTGGAGCTGCAATTTATAGATTATAACACTGAACATACTCTTTATCCGAATACTGCAGATTAAGGCAATGGGAAATGCTAATGATGTCAGCAACAAGGTGACACTGAATGTGGAGTGTGATAACACAGATGAGGTGTCTAATTCTAGTGCAGCTAGGAGGCAGGCATGACACTGGAGCTAACGTGCACCCAACCCAACAGAAAAACTGCATATCCTAAATTAAAGTAATTCCCTGCATCTATTCTTTTCTATTTTGGTTGAAACATGGAGCCTCATCCATTTGCTTCAGAACTTCAGCTACTATGGTATGTGCCTAATCAATCAATTCATAAGTTGCCTTACTAGCTAAATGCTATCAATGGTTGCCTCTGTGCATATTTTTTAAAAGAAAAATAAAAACATAATTTTGTTCCTTTTTTTTTTTTTTAATTTATCTTTACTCTTTATACGTTTAAATTGATATAGTTTTTAAAAGTATGTAAATTTTTAATCTATTTTTTCATCTACATTTAACACTTTTTTTTCTCTTACCAGAGTTGATAAATAAATATCATTTAAATTATTTTTATTTTTAAACTTGATATTTAACAATATTTTTTATTATAATAGAATTGATAAAAGGATTAAATATATTTTATAATTTTAAGATTAATTTAATTAATTTTAAAAGATAAAAACAGAAATTAATTTCAAAAAATGAAAAATATATTTAATATTTTTAAAATTAAATTTATTTCCTCTGTAATGATTATATAAATAGAGAGAATTAAGGTCAATTTTGTAACGTAATGTAATTTGTTTTTATTATTCCTAAAATGAGTAAATTTTTAAAAAATTTGATTATGGGGTAAGCTGCGCATTCAGATAGAAGTTGAATACAAATACGTGATTTTTTTTCCTTTTTTTTAAGTCGGATTTGAATACACGACTTTAGGATTTTTTTTTTATTATTGAAGTTGTCATTTAAATTGTGATTTTAGTTGAATTTCTTTTGTTAATATTAAAGTGACTAATTAATTAACTACTTTAATTAATTTTTTTTATTTGAGTCGTGAATTGATTGATATCTTTTAGTTTATATATTTTAAATTATTTTTTTATTTTTAGTTTAACCTTGATATATAAGATATAAATTATTTATAAAATTTATGAGATGCAGTTTTATCTCATTCGAATTTGTTCCAAATTCAAATATATGTCAAAAGACTAATAATAAATCGTAATCACATAAACTTGATCCAAATAAGTAAAAATAATAAAATAAAAGTTATCATCGAATTAATTGTTTATTTTGATAATAAAAATATAAAATTTTATTTTTTTATTAGCGTATCAATGATTTCTTTTTTATTATTTAATATATTTAAAAATTATTTAATATTATAGAGATCTAAATAATAATTAATTATTTAAATTATTAATTTTTAAATATTAAATAAAACTCTATAAATAAAAATTTAATTTAAAAATATATGAATTGACAACTTCATTATAAAAAAAGTTGTTTAATGAATTGACAACTTCATATAAGCAATTGTATTAAAATTATGAATCAATTGACGATTTTAATTTAAAAAAAATAGTATTAAAGTCGTTAATTAGAATCCAACTTAAAAAAAATTGTCACATGAAAATGTGTTTCATACAACTTCAACTCAATTCATTTCTCATGCATGACTTCTTCATAATGAAATTTATCCATTAATCCCTTGAGAATTAGATACAGATGGACATAAAGCCATATATAAAATACATCTAATAATAGATTATAAATACTTCTTCTTACTTGCCTTTATTAAATCTAACTATAAAGTTTCCTAAAACAATTAATTTTCTTAAAAAAAAATTTATATTTTGACAATATTCTTTTATGAAATTATAAGTGTTTTACTTATCATAATTTTCTTTTACAGAAAATTGTTAATGAATCGATAAAAAAGATATTAAAATTTTAGATTTATATAATACTCAAAATGCATTATACTAAATTATTTATTTACATCAAAATTTATTATTAACACAATTTTATTCCATCTATATAAAAAAATGTTATGATTCAAAGTGTGTATATATCAATTGACAACACATTTTAATTTGAAGAAAAAATTGAATTTGATTTTCCTAAAGCAAATTTATTAGAGGAACTAAACGTTTTAAGCTTTGTTATCAAAACTGAACTTACATTCATCTCGTATCATCTACTTAATAAGGAAATGTTTTGGTCACGCTGCACTTAAATCAATTTTGAGCCATGATTCAATTTTCTCAAACGAAATTTGTGCTTCATTATTAAAAATTTTCCCATACAATCTAGGCCTTACATCTAGTAATATTAAATTATCTTATTTGATTTATCCAATAGATTATCTAAAAAAAAATATCAGTTGATCCATATTTTTAAATAAACTATTTTTAATTTTGATCTTACATCACGTCACCGAATTATTTTCGTTATTTTAGAAATATAATATTATTTTTAAAATATAATTCTTTTTTTAAAAAAATTAATTCATAAATCTATATGGTTAATCTAATCAGACATGTATAATAACAAATTAAATGAACTAAATAAAAAATTAATTGATTTAACTTAGATCATTATTTGATTCACATGATTTTCGAGTTGGCCAATCAAATTAGATCTTTTTATATCTCTTATCATATATATCAATCAAAATTCATAGACTTAGATGTTAGAATTAATTTAATTAATTCATTCCATTATGTGACTCATGTGAAATATAATAATGGGTCCAAATGTGATTTAATAAAATATGAGGACCTATTGGTTATTATGTGAAGTCAGAATAAAATAAAGATAAAATAAAATATTAACTTACGGTAACCAACTTGATGGACGTTGGTTAATAAAAGGGATTAGGGTTCGTCTCCGGCCATAAGGTTTTTTCACGATAAACCATCAAGAAAGCGAAGCGTGAGAAGAGAAAGAAAGGCAAAGAGATAGATTGGGAAAAGGAGATTGGAGAACGAAAAGATCAAAGAAAAGATTAGGGTTCGTCTGCGGCCATAAGGTTTTTTCACGATAAACCATCAAGAAAGCGAAGCGTGAGAAGAGAAAGAAAGACAAAGAGATAGATTGGGAAAAGGAGATTGGAGAACGAAAAGATCAAGAAAAGATTCTCATGGATCAAGGTTAGTTCTCTTACTATGATTCATGTATTGATGTATGCAAAATTGTGAAAATCAATAATCTAAAGATCCTGTAGAGTAATTTTCTATAATGAATTAAGAACGTAGGAAAACTACATAATGTCTTACATTAGATTGCAAAATTATACAGTAAGTTAAAATAATATTACATCATTCTTTTTTTTTTCCTTTCTAATCCTTTTAAGAAATAAAATTAGTACCACGATGAAGAAAAAGTAAATTAATATTAGGATAAAGAAATAGTTAGATTTGGTAGATTGATTTATTTGTTAGTCTTAAAATTAACGAGGATTGATAATTTTAATATCTCAATCTAACATGTCAAGAATGAGATAGGATAAATTGGTCCATTGATTATTTTAAAAAAATATTTATATATTAAAGTTAACATAAAAATAATATAATTTAAAATATTAATTTTTATGTTATATTATTAAAATATATAAATATATTATAATATTTTAATTTAATTTGATTAAAATATTTATTATAATTAAATATTTAAATATATAAATATAGTAATATTTTTAATTTATCTAATAAAAATATTAATTATTGAATAAAATATTAAAAATTATTTATATAATTAAAAATATATTTTTTAAAATATACATATAAAATATTTTAAGAATTAACCCCTAGCTCATGAACCTACTCTTCTAGACGAGAGTCTATCATTCCTTCCCCTTATGTTTAATAAATTAGAGATAAAACAATACAAAACTTATGAAATATCATGTTTTATTTTAAATGATAAAATGTGATATAAATAATTTTGGAATGAAAATAGCAAGTAGTTAGTTTAATTTATAATACTTAGCAATGTTATTATTTTTTCTTAATAAATTGTTAAGTGGTAAAAAGTTGATATAATTATATTTTTAATTGTTATGAAATCATTTAACTTATGTCAATTCTAATATATTTTTTTCAATGTAGGATGAATTCGAGAATACCTTGATACAAGAGCAAGGAGTATAATTGTTAACATTATTGAAGCAAAAACTGAAAGGAGGAAGCATATTTTCAACGTGGAAGTCGTTCGAGTGAGATAGACTCTACTTGAGCGAAAATTAGTTAAAACTCTCTGGAAGTCATTCGCTCAAGCGTCATTATTTTCGTTTGAGTGAAAATTAGTTAAACTTCTTTGGAACTCACTCGCTCAAGCAGCTCAAGCGAGCACTTTTTTGCTTGAGCGAAAATACTCTTGAGCGAATGTTTTCGCTTGAGCAAAAGACGCAAGGCCTAAATTTTTCCTATAAAAAGATAAGATGTATTTTGAGAAGGGGAGAAATTTTGTGGGAGAAGAGACGCGACTACTGCTAGGGTTTCGTCCAATCTTCATCAATTATTCTCTTCTTCCTCATTTGGAGCATTGTAATGGCCACCATGAGTGGTTAACTTCATTCTCTTGGGATTTGGTACACTTCCTTTGAATTCTTTTGTGTCATGGTGATATTTTGAGATATTAATCTATATTTTGATGTTGTTATTCTTATCTTTTGTGTCTTGGAATGATTTATTCTTGATGTTTGGGATATGATTGAAAAATATATCTTGAACCTTAGATCATGGTAAGAATATTTGTTACGTTAATTGTCAGGAATGGAATAAATGTATCAATTGCTTAACACCCTAAACCTAATGTTGGAAAATCTCTTAATTGTGTGCGAGATCAACACTTATTAGGTTTTCTTATGAATTTCATGTGTGAGGAATCAATATGGATGATTTGAGTAGGTGGCATCAATATTGTTAGGTTAATTAATGATCTTAATTGGACATAGTCATTACAAAAGAGGGAAAAGGAAGGAAGTTAATGCTAAGTGTCTTTAATTGATCTTTTCTAAATAATTTACAGTTCTTTGTCATTTAATTTCAATTCAATTCTTTATGCAAAACCCTTTTTGTTTTATTTCACTTAGTAAGCATATAATTGAGAATTTTCATTGAAATCGTTCCTCGTGGGATCAACTTTTATTTAATTGAAATACTATACTGCGATTGATAA